CCCACTTTGGTCAAAAATAGACCCACTTCGGGCACAAATCGACCCACTTTGGTCTCAAACTCGAGGCACACTAGCACGGTTACAAAAGCAGAATACAAATAAAATGTCCTACTCATTAGAGAGAAGCAAAAAAGCAGTAAGCTTACTAAGAGTTGTGAGCTCTCCAGAACAGTATGTTTGTTTCTTTAACTTTAATTTTGGGCTATTTTCATATTTATTGTCTTTTAGTTACCGTTTTTACCTTCCATATTTTCTCGATCTCGCCAATTGTGTAAGTGATCAGGCAGAGTTTTGTAGTCAGGAAGGAATGCGGGCAATTGTAAAAAAATATCTTCATCTTGTCCACAAGAATAAATTGGATTTAAGGGATCTTTTTTCCCATATTCCTTTCCCTAACCTTCTACTTTCTTCTCTATACTTTGGGTTGTTTTCAAATCTACTGTCTTTTAGTTACCGTTTTTACCTTCCATATGTTCTCGATCTTTCTAAATGTGTAAAAGTAACAGAGTTTTGCAGTCAGAAAGGAATGCGAGCAATTGCAGTTTTGCGCAACAGCAATACAAAATATGTCAACTTGATTTGCCACAAATTAGTTTGCACATTTCGCAGGAATAAATTGGCTTCAAGAAAACTTTTTTTATATATTCCTGTCCTCAATCTTCAATTTTCTTTAAACTTTACAGAAAGTGTTAAATACAAGTATCGTATGAAATTTGTCGATGTTCTCGAGAATCTGTGTGACAAAAGTCAACATATGGTGAGCATGCACTTGACAAAAGACGATGGAGGTCGTGATGTATATGTTACATACTTGCATCAAGTAGATATACATGAGAATAATTGGAGGAAAACAGTAAGACAAAGAGAAAGAGGTTACAAAGCGTATAAAAGTAGGAGCCGTGAACCATCTAGGATAAATTTGAAAAAGATTTTAAAGTCAATGAAGAAACGAGTGCTTCGAAGAACTCGAAAATTAACACTCAGGAATTTGTCTCCCCCTTCATCTAGACTAAGAAGCATAGCAGCTAACTATAAAACTTACTATGTGATGCATAAATATAGAAAAGATTGTTTCTTCAGCAAGTTTTATTGTAAGCGTCGTAATATTAAGGTAGTCTGCTTGAGTACCTCAGCGAAAAACAAAGAAATCAAAAACAGTTCATTTGATAAGATTAGCTCCTCAGGACGAAAGATTTTAAAGAGATATCCAATTATTTCTTACTCAAATTCCTTTTTTTTTTCAAAAGAGAGTAAATTACATGTCTCATTAAGGTCATCACTACTTCAAGATATATTTCGTGTAGCAAGAAGGAAACTGTTAATTTCCGGTGATATTGAACTGAATCCAGGACCCACACAATTGGCATTTGCTGTATTAACACAAAGATTAAGAACGATCGGCTTAAGGCCACTAGATGTTGGTGGTGATGGAGATTGTTTTTTTTAAAGCTGTTTCACATCAGTTGTGTGGCACTCCAGATTGTCATTTTGCAATTCGAGATGCTGGTATTCAGTACCTTAGGGAACACCCAGAAGAATTTATTGAGAGCAATGTTGCAAATTCATGGTTAGGCTATTTAAATACTATGTCCATGCAAGGAACATGGTGTGATGGTCTCATAGTGCAGGCTGTAGCAAATGCACTAGGTATAACACTGCATATCATAGAATCTCATCAAAATTTTACAGAGAGGACAATAATTGAACCTGCCGTGACCTTACAAGGAGAGCATAGGACTATTTACTTAGGTCACATAAATGAGGTTCATTATGTCTCTACAGTTCCGGATGTTCCAGAATTATTTAGAATACAAATAACCAACAGTTGCAGCACTAGCATACATGAATCAAAGAGTTCTTCCGCCATTGAGTATCACAAAAATGATTATTTCAGGACATATATGAGAAAAAGAAGGGCCAATGAAAACGATGAGTGTAGAGAAACACGGCTATCCAAACAACGTAAATACAAACAGCAACGGCGAAGTGTACAAAAAAAAATCCACAGCCGAGGAACTTGCACAATCCAAAAACACACAAAAAGAAACGCCAATAAAAATAGTGACTGTGGAGAAAAAAGCTATCCAAACAATGTAAATACACAAAGCAACGGCAAACTGAACAAAGAAAAACTACAGCAGAAGGACTCCCACAACCCAAAAACACACAACGGTTTATTGCTGCACAAAACAAACATACATCAGGTGCACTTCCACAATCTAAAAATTTACAGCAACCAGTATTTGCAGAAAAGAATGATACAGAAGAAAGACTTCATGAAAATAAACAGTATGAAAGGTCTATTGATAATCTAATTTCCAATTTTCATACTATTGTCTCCAAAGGTCCACTTTACATCTGTACTTGTTGTGATCAATTATGGTACAAACATAGTGTTTCCCTTGCGGACGATTTTAGATTAAGTAATCCAAATGTTTCCGAATGTCTGTTGAATGAAACAAGTGTGGACAACAAAGAGTGGTTATGTAACACATGCAAAATGCATTTAAAAAAAAATAAAGTTCCACCATTTGCTGCTGTTAATGGGATGCAATTTCAAACTAAACCGCCATTTTTGGACTTAAATGAGTTAGAATGGAGATTACTTGCCCCACGATTAGCATTTGTAAAACTAATGCAGGCTCCAAGAGGAAATCAATTGAAAATAAATGGAAATATTGTTAATGTACCAGCAGATGTCAGTAGCACAGTCAACCTACTACCTAGGTTAGAAAATGAAACTGGAACAATTAAAGTACAGTTGAAAAGAAAATTGCAATATAAGAGTTTTGCATTATCGTTGAATGTAAGACCGCATAAAGTGGTGCAAGCAGCCGATTGGCTTATCACTAATAGTGATCTTTACAAAGAAGAGGGAATAATTGTTAACTGTGACTGGCAATCAAATTTTGTTGAGAATATTTCGAGAACTCAAGATAAGCCTCACAACAAGTCTTTAGAAAATAGTGACAATGTGATCACATGCAATTCTGAAAATAAAACTGCAGATAATCAGTTATTATGTATAAATGAGAATAATTGGAGTGAGGATGAAGATGAAATACCAGCAGGAGTTACAGACACCATGTTAACAGCTACTGACTTTCTAGACGAAAACGAACGCGCGAATATTCTTAATGTTGCACCAGCTGAAGGCTCTACTCCTCTTAGTATTTTTAGAGACAAATTTTCTGAGGAATTAGCATACCCTGGTATATTTTTAGGTCAAAAACGAACTGAAAATGACAAACGACTAGTACCAGTTCATTATAGTGATATATGTAAATCTGAATTGCGACGTTCCGATCGAAGAGCAGCAATGTGCGTCGAAAATATTTTTTTTAAAGCCAAAAAGTTACAAATGAAAATTCTCTTAGGTAAATCGCAGATTGCAATGCGAAAATGCAAAGGTCTCAACAGTTCTCTTACTGCTGGGCATTTAAAAAAGCAAGGAGCTTTAGAAAAATTAGTTCATCTTGATGAAGGGTTTAAATTTTTAAGAGCATTACGAGGTTCCCCGCCTTATTTTGAAACTGCTAAAAAAGATCTCTTTGCAATGATAAGACAGCTAGGCCCAGCAACTCTATTTTGTAGTTTTTTCTTCTGCAGAGACACAGTGGATACACCTATTAAAAATTCTTGGTAAATTGGTGGATGGTAAAGAATATTCTGATAATGAACTTGTGAACTTAAATTGGGAACAGAAATGTAGATTAATCCAAAGCGATCCAGTAACATGTGCAAGACATTTTGATTACCAATTCAATCAGTTTTTAAGCACTTTTCTCATGAGTAATGTTTCACCGTTAGGATCAATTTCTGATTGGTTTTATAGAGTTGAATATCAGCAAAGAGGTTCACCTCATATCCACATGTTGCTATGGATAAAAAATGCACCAATATTTGGAATCGACGATGATAATGAAGTCATCCCAGCAGGAGTTACAGACACCATGTTAACAGCTACTGACTTTCTAGACGAAAACGAACGCGCGAATATTCTTAATGTTGCACCAGCTGAAGGCTCTACTCCTCTTAGTATTTTTAGAGACAAATTTTCTGAGGAATTAGCATACCCTGGTATATTTTTAGGTCAAAAACGAACTGAAAATGACAAACGACTAGTACCAGTTCATTATAGTGATATATGTAAATCTGAATTGCGACGTTCCGATCGAAGAGCAGCAATGTGCGTCGAAAATATTTTTTTTAAAGCCAAAAAGTTACAAATGAAAATTCTCTTAGGTAAATCGCAGATTGCAATGCGAAAATGCAAAGGTCTCAACAGTTCTCTTACTGCTGGGCATTTAAAGGAGCTTTAGAAAAATTAGTTCATCTTGATGAAGGGTTTAAATTTTTAAGAGCATTACGAGGTTCCCCGCCTTATTTTGAAACTGCTAAAAAAGATCTCTTTGCAATGATAAGACAGCTAGGCCCAGCAACTCTATTTTGTAGTTTTTCTTCTTTCTTCTTCATTGATAGCATTATTACCTGCCAAAAGCCATCTGGCAATTTAAACCTAATCACCTTAGTGAACAGGCAAATTCATCGACATTCACATTCGTGTAGGAAAAGAAAGAAAAATGAATGTAGATTCAACTATCCACAGCCTCCTATGGAAACAACTCAGATCTTGCATCCTCTTGATAAGGACATTGAACCACACTTGCTTAAAAATTATAAAGAAATGTGGACACGTATTAAGAAAGAATTAAATGACCTAAAAGAAGGTCAAAGTATTACTTTTAATGAGCTTCTGTCTCATCTAAATGTAACGGAAGAAGATTATCTACTAGCATTGCGTTCATCACTTAATTCTCCAACTGTATTCCTAAAAAGGAAGCCAAATGAGTTAAGAATTAACAACTACAATGCACCGTGTCTCAGCGCGTGGAGAGCTAACATGGACATACAATTTATCCTTGATGTTTATGCTTGTGCAGTGTACATTGTATCCTATATATCAAAAGCACAGAAAGGTATGAGTGAATTACTTCGAAAGGCGTGTGATGAGGCTAAGAATGGAAATGCTAGCATAAAACAGCAAGTAAGAGATATAGGCAATAAATTTCTGAACAGTGTAGAAATATCAGCCCAAGAAGCAGTTTATTTAGTGCTTCAAATTCCAATGAAAAAATCATCACGACAAGTAATATTTATACCTACTGCGCCTCCCGATGAAAGAGTTGACCTATTGAAGTCTATGAATGAAATTGAAATGATGGAAGATGATTGTGAAGACATACACACCGGAGGTCTTCTCAAAAGATATACTGAAAGGCCTCATAACCTTACTCACGTGACTTTGGCAGATTGGGCAGCATGGTATGATTCATATGGAAAACCTTATAGGAAGAAAAGACGAAAATTTGATGCTGATAGTCTACTACAGGAACACTGTATTGATGAAAAAAATAGTGATGATAACTCTGAGAATAATAATGAAGACGCTGATAAAAGTAAGAAACGGTCAAAAGCAAGGATTATAAGAAGTGTTTGGTTTAACAAAGAGACTAACCCCGAAAAACATTACCGTGAATTAATTATGCTTTTTTCTCCATGGAGAAATGAAAAGACAGACCTCATACGGAATTGCTCTACATTTGAAGAACGCTTCTGCCTTTTAAAAGACGAAATCTCAAAACAGATGACCCAGTATGCATTTTTCAGTCAACAACTAGATGAAATTCAAAAACATTTGAAAGATGTGAACGACAATTCCTTTGATACAATTGCACAAAACACACAACATACAGAGCTCCAAGATCAAACTGAAGGTCTAAATGACTTGCATCCTGACTTCAATGAAACGTATGATTTATCAGAAGACATTGGCATTACTCCACATACAGCTAATGATGATGTTCTTATATTAAACGAACTGCCTGATCAAGAATACCGACAAATGGTCCAAAAGTTAAACAAACAGCAGAAGGAGTTCTTTTATCATATTTTACATCTCATTAAAACGTCTGACAAGCCATTTTACAGCTTTCTAAGTGGAGGAGCTGGCGTTGGTAAATCTTGGCTCGTTAAAGCGCTATATCAAGCAGCTCTAAAATATTATAACCATAATGCAGGAGAAGATTTCCAAGACATAAAAGTGTTATTACTAGCACAAACAGGGAAGGCAAGTTACAACATAAAAGGAAACACTATACATAGTGCTTTGGCGATACCAGCAAATCAATCACTAAAAAATTACAAGCCCCTCGATTCTAGTAGACTGAATACCCTTAGGTGTAAACTCGGAAAACTTAAACTAATATTTGTGGATGAAATTTCTATGGTTGGTAACTGCATGTTTAATATTCAGATAAACTGCAGATTAAAAGATATAAAGGGCAGTAAAGATGATTTTGGAGGAGTTAGTATCATTGCAATAGGGGATTTATTTCAGCTAAAGCCAGTAATGGATGGTTATATTTTTAACGATATTGAAGATTTGCAATATGGGGTACTTCTACCAAACTTATGGAAAGAGCATTTTAAAATGTTTGAGCTTCATGAAATCATGAGGCAAAGAGAAAGTAAAGCATTTGCAGAAATTTTGAACAGACTTCGAGAAGGAAATCACACAAACGATGATCTCTTAATAGTAAAAGATAGACTTATTACACCAAATAGCTCAACATACCCCTCAGATGCACCTCACTTATTTATACAGAACAAAAAAGTTAATGAGTTCAACGAAAAAGTCCACAATGCGTCTTTAAACAAAAAGTTTAATGTCAAAGCACAGGACAGTGTAGTTGGAGCAAATTCTTTAGAACTAAGGAGGAAAATAATGAACCAAATACCTAACGATCCAAGAAAAACTAAACAGCTACGATCAAATCTTAAACTGAGTGAAGGTGAAAGAGTAGAAACAGCCATAAATGTACGGACAGAAGATGGCATTACAAATGGTGCAGCTGGAGTGGTTAAATTTATTCAGCTACATCAAATACAAAAACCATCTGGAATAATTTGGGTATTATTTGACCACGGCAATGTAGGGCAAAGAACAAGACACGAAAACAGGCATCTATATACGCAATCAATTCAACACACTTGGACTCCAATAAAACCTGTGACTGTGCAGTTTGCTGTTGGCAAAACCAAAAGTGCTCGGGTTGTTCGAAAGCAATTTCCTTTACGGCCAGCAGCTGCTAAAACTGTACATCGATCTCAAGGGGATACTGAAACAAGAATAGTTGTAAATTTGGAAACAAAAAGAAAAATACCTCATGTACATTATGTTGCGTTAAGTCGAGTAACAACTATTGAAGGATTGTACATTACGGACCTATGTGAGAGCAAAATTCACGTTCATTCGGATGTTAAAACTGAAATGGTCAGATTACGAACAAAGGCCTCCCTTAACCTTTGTATTCCTCGCCTTTATGAACTTAGTTCATGTTTTTTCAAATTATGTTTTCTAAATGCAAGATCACTTCATAAACATATTGACGATTTACGCAACGAACACAATTTCAACAGTGCTGATTTAATTATCTGCTGAGAGTCTAGGTTCAGTCCACTTGATGATGATAACATGTACATCATACAAGGATATCATTTGTTTCGAAATGATAACCAGGTTTTTAACACAAGACCCTATGGTGGTACTGCAATTTATAGTCGACACTCTTTTGCACCTGGCTTCCCCTACAATTCCAATACAAATGGCATTGAGATAACAGTTCTAAAAGTATCTACCCTGCAAAATGTAACAATAACAGCAATCTACCGTTCACTAAAAATTTCTCTCACACTTTTATGCCGGTCGCTTATTCAAGTATTGGACAAAATTTCCTTCCAATACAATATTATCATTGGAGATTTCAATGTTAACTGGATGAATGAAATTGAAAGAAGACCTCTCTATAACCTTCTTGTGACAGAAAGAAATTATAAACAACTGATTTCACATTATACAACTGATAACAGAACAACAATTGACCACATATACACAAATTTCCTACCACATTCACATGCTGATACCACTTCAGGAACATTAGAAACATATTTCACTGATCATAAAGCCATCTGGTTAGCCTTCCCATATAATATTTGTTAATGAAAACCATTCCTTAAACACACGCCAACAAGAGCCAATTATTTACTGTAAAAATAATAATTCTTGTTTCCCTTACAATTATTTGGCTAAAACTTTCACCTACAACAAAAACTAACTGAAAAAAATCTTTCAGAAATCGCATGTTGTAACTTGCCCAAATTATTCCATGTGTTATTTCCAAGTGGTGGTATAATAAGATCTCACATTTTTTTATTGAAGCATTTTTTTTAAACCCTTCCCTTCCTTTTTTTTCATCAGCTGAGAAGAATGGCTGAGAGTTCAAAGCGAAAAGGTAAGCGGCCAAGTAAAGTATTTATCACTTTGCAAATTCACGAAGCGTTTCGTTAAATAAGATACATATAAAAATACCTAATATCTAGAAACATTAGTCTTAGATATTTACTATTGGTCAATATCATCACAACTTACCTAAATTACATTCAATACAACTCAATACATTTTCATGCACCGAAGGTCTTCTTTTACTAAACAATTCAAAATCTGCTACTTTTTTATTACTGCAACTAACGTAATATATCAAACTATTTTAATTTGATAACAATTATACGATTTATTTGCAAAAAGACTGATAAAGAAAAATTCCGTAAATTTTGCTGTTTACAGATCAATAATAACCAACAGCTCCATGCTGCATAATGCTACTTCCACTCTCATTACATTATCTTTATATCCTCTTCTCCACTTCTAATATGTGTTTCTCACATTATTATTTCTCTATTGCAGATAGTGACGTTGGTTACGTTCACTCATTATCGCCCATTAAAAAAGCAAGGTCTGGAAAATTGTACTACAATTTTGACCTTCAAACATCACCAACAAAATTCACAAGAGTGGTTGGATTTGACAAGAATTCACATGCTCAAGCACTGCATTTCCAAGTTACAAAAAGTCCAGCTAAAATTGTCAATATTAATGAAAAAGAAGATACCATCTTTGTCAACCAAACAAGCTCAATTGTCCAAGCTAGCAGCAGTGATGTCAACTTTCTGTGCACAGCTCCATGGACAAAGCAAGGGGAAGCCAAGGAAACAATCTCCAGTGGGACAGATATAACACTGAATGAAATCCAAACTCTGACAAGAAATCAAAAGGTCAATGTACAAGGCCACCTAACACTTGGTCAAAATCCAAGCAAAGAAGTCATTAAACGCAATGGCGAAAAGGGATACGTAAAAGAAGACTGTGTGATTGAAGATCGCACTGGTTCTGCCACTATACACATCTGGGATAACTTGCTAACCCAACTAGAGAGTGGAAACACTTACAGCTTCCAAAATCTTAGCGTGAAGAATTATTCAGGAATGACATTACTGGGTACCACACCAACAACAACATTCCAAAAAACAGACCTCCAACTAACTGAAGTGAAAGGCCCACAGCTTCTTTCAAATACTGAGAAGGAAATTGTTATCCAAGAATTTAAATTTGTTGACAAAGTAAATGTCTTCATGACATGCCAGATAAAGTCTTGCAAGAAAAAGATGCCGCATGCAGTGGGTTCAACTGTTCTCAAATGCACTAAATGTGGAACAAGTCAAAAAGTTAAAGCTGCACAAAACGGAATGTCTGCACGCCTTTGTGCCGAAATAGACGGAAAAGATTGCTGGCTTACTGCTCTCACAGATGTCATGGAAGGCTTATTGTCCAAAATAAGCCTTACCAGAGATTCCAACACGGATCAAATAGCAGAAAGATTACTTCAAATTGAAAATATTAAAATCAAAATTAATACACGGTCCAATCACATAATCGAACTTCTATAGAATACTAAATAGTCAGACAAAACTTTTTCGCTTTTTCTATACCATCACACTTCAGTGGTAGGCAGCGAAAATCTCAAAAGCTTACAAAACTGATTATAATAACACTTTTATGATAGTTCTCAAAATTATAGAATGGAGTAATCGGAATTAGAAATGTCAAGTAAAGATTATATTAATAGTCTTTAAAAGGTTGCAAACAAAATACGATAGCTGAAGCTTACATTTACTTTGTGCAACTGTGTAATATATTATAATAATCAAGTATATTTTCAACTATGGGTTTTCTCGTATCTTTAATTATGGTAACTGCAAAATTAATACAATAGTGCGTCAGGCGAACAGCAGAAAACAGATTGCACTACATAAAGTGTATCATATATATTACAATAGCAAAACAAACGCTACCTTTATAAAACAAAAACAAACACACGGTACACACTATCACATTGAAATACGTCTCAAACAATACGATAAAATAGTAGAAGTACCCTCTCCAATTTTTGATAAAAGGAAACCTAAATTTCAACACTTATTTTGCTCTATTACCTGAACTTTCGCAGTAGACAACTGTACGCATTGCGTACCTATTTTTTAATAAAGCAGTGGGTTAATAAGGTTTAGTCCAATCATGGGCAAAAAAAAAAATAAGGTCTGTTCTGCAGGCTAGTTCCTGGATATAACGTGTCCAGACTGGCCCAAAGACTAAATGCTCTCATTTTAACGTTTGACAGACATTTGAAGTCGTATAAGTAGTAAGTATAATTTGTAGTAGCATAACCATTTTCAGAATGCCCCATATCTTGTTGAAATACTGAAAGTTTTGGTAATATATGATGTTTAAATTGACACTTACTGCGGTGATGTATTAGATCCACTGCTCATTGTATTGTCAACTGTGGAGAGCTGTTGCCTATTGGCCTCACCTCGCTGTTTTCAGGTGTAAGTGTCGATGCATACGACTGTACCTCGGCATGGCTACGTCACGTCAGGGCGAATCCTATTTTCTCCTTTTCTTAACGTCTCTTTTCGTGTGAGCCGATTGATAGTTACGCTGCTCCCTGATGATCAGTTCCCTGTTGAATGTAATATAAATCAGTAATGGTGAATAAAGCCACCCTTGCTAAATACCACAAATGCAACAAGAGCAAAAGATATAAGCCATCAAACCAAGCACAAAAGATTACTTTATCATACCTGCATACATAATCTTTAGCTGCCATTGTCAATTGAAAGATTATCTGCCCTCTAGTGATATGCAGTGATCACTTGGTTGTGAAAGAAAAATACGTCATACTTCCCATGACCGCCAGCCTGCAAGCACCTAACGCTTGCTCAAAGGCTACGTCATGCCGTATCTTGAGCATTGGTTTTCTTCAACTAGCCTGCATAACAGGCGTTATTTTTTTGCGTTTTGCTGGTGAGCGAAGGCCAGCGCAATGTAAGCGAGGAGCGCGAGACACACGCGACTGGGGAAGGCGTGTGTCTGGCGCTTCTTGCTCGCTCACTCTACGAACTCTGGATATCTCTCCTGGTGTGGTGGGTATCAAAAGAGCAGTGTTAGGAGGCACCCTCGTTCTTGCTTCTACAGATTTGGCTAGTAGTTCCCTGAGTTGGATTTTATCCCTCCTAGAGCTCTCGTTGGACCTCTCTAGTAATTCACTGTCTAAGTCAACACTTTTCCACACCTCGGTAGGACTTTCATCAACACCTGCAGTTCTGTTCTTGGAAAAAGAATTAATGCTGTGGATTGTCTTTTCCCAACTGATTCAGTACTGTCAATAGTTGTGTTTTCACTGGGAAATTTTTTTGCTAGATTAAGCCGGAAAAGGTCGGAAGTATAATGAAAACACCTCGTCTTCTGTTTAGCGGGTTTAAAATGCAAACTTTTTTCACGAGCAAAACAAGGGTTTTTCTCGTCTTTATGACAGGAAATTCACGCCAAGTTATACCACCTCGAAAAAAATTCGTGCACTAGAAAAATAGGAGAGAAAAAAAAATCGCGCAGAAGTTAGAACGGAAAAAAAAAATTAATGCAAGCCCCACCCACTCTTGGGTCTTGTATAATATTCTTTTTAAAAGGGAATTCTAATAAAAAATACCATTACTGACAACGTGACTAACCGGAATCTAACCGGAATCTCCACAAATTATTGTCGTTCATTTTGGTGTTACAAAAAAAACTTTTTTTAAACAGTAATTTTCTGCAAGTTTCAATTTTATTTCTTTGGGATATTGCATTTGAAGCCCTCTAATGTTTCTATTTGACGGGGCGATCTACAAGTAGCATATTCCTCAGTGATTCCTTTCTTGTAAGGAAAGACTTTTCGCACGCAGGTAGAGAATTGGGGACCGTGGGAGGGCATTGTTTCTGCAGCTCCCGCACAGGCTAACAACATCATCAAATACTGTACTTAGATAATCACTCGGCGTAGATATAGGGCCAAATACTCCACGTAACAATTTTGTGTTTGTTCCAAATCGACTTCCAAATGTGTTCGCCCGACGACCTGAAATGACCCGTCCCCTCCCCTCAAAAATCGGCCCCATTGAAAGGGGAATGGGACACGCCAAGCCTTCTGGGAGTTCCTTCCGCCATTTTGTCTTTTTTGACATACCTCAGAAAGAATGTTGCCTCTCATTTTTTTGATTGGGTTTTGCCCTCACGGGCAGCCCATGAAAAAGCGAAGTTAATCATTAGCATTACCATCTACTTTGTTCTCCACGCGTGTCTGCTTCTCACGTCTTCTGGTACGCTTTTCCGTATGCCAGCTCAGACATTTTAGCGTTGCCAGCCCTGTCTTTTGTACACTTTTTCGTAGGTCAGTATGTTCTTATGGTAAAAGTTTAGCTCTGTCTTCTTATCGCTTTATACCCGTAATTCTTATTGTAGTGGTGTTGTTCAACGCTACCGTTGGCCAATCACTGCAGTTTAGTTTCGCCGTTTTACCAACGATTTTCAGTATGTCGGTTCAGTTTTACATTATTAGTGTAAGTTGTTTTTTGTGACCGTGTTAGTTTCTTTCTACCTAACCATATTAGTATTGATTTCTCAGTGCTTAATTCTTCGTGCATTAGGTTATATCCTACGTCAGACGTCTCCTATTTCCTTTGTTTCACGCGAAAAAGGGACGTCTGCGTGAGTAATTGTTTTAGTATATACTAAAACAGTGAGATAATTGAGCACAAAATGATGATTTTTAACTCATTTGCTGTTACCAACGATTACAATTTTGGGGCGCGATGACCGATGATGACCGCTTTTTCTTAGCGACAAATAAAACTTTTGAAGGCGTTTGTTTTTAGCTCTTGCGGGGAAGTTTCTTCAAAAGGAGTTGTGAATTCTGTTTGTATTTAAAATAATTCTGTAAAAAAGATTGTTAAATTTAGTTTTAAGCTTATTCATTTAGTCAACTAAATAAAGTAACGCAAGACTTAAGCTTAATTTGCATTTATAAACAAAAAAACTTTTTCACCGGTTTTATCGATAACTATTCAAGTCAAAAAGACAAAGCTTTACCTGTTAAAACTTCCAAACCGAACTTCGTCACCTTTTTCATGTATTTCGGAAATAGCTTGCTTGATTAGTTGTGAAATTTCTTAGTTTGTTACGGCAGCAAACCGGGAAAGCATTTTGCTCGCAACCTACGCGAGTTTGGCGTCGCTCGCTCGGAAGAACTGGAGGTGAATCAGTGAATACTGCAGGATATTCGCTGATTGAGCAGCCAATCTGAGTGCCCGAAAAACACTATCCACTGTTTTAGTATATACTAAATAGATTTAGCCAGGGCTAAAAGCGAAGCTCTCTTTAATACTTATAATTTCCTCAAAGAAAATATAAAATCGAGTAATCCTAAAGACTATTACTAAAGACGGTGAAAACAACGAGAACGGTAAAAAACAACAAACACAGATCTAATAAGCAAAAAACAAACTTTGCACGTGCAGCGCACTTTTTTCTAATTAGCATAAAAAACTTTGCACGTGCAGCACACTTTTATTTCTAATTAACAAAAAACAACTTTGCACGTGCACCACACTCTCACTGCTGCTACATAATTTCCATGTTTATCTTCCAACGAAATTGGTCCCCGTTGTTATTTATTTCTCGCTCTATCTCTTTCCCTGTTATCCAAGTTAACGTAGACATTAAAACTTAGTGCAAAGAGGCACTCGTTTTTTTTTTCGCTAAAAGTCTGGGTGGCCATGTGATTTACCGCCGAAACGAGCGGGGTGTTTGAAATGCAAAAAAACTTCACCTGACCTCAGCTATAACATACTCCTCCCCCGACGGGCTGACGAATGACTCCCCTCCCCCTCCCCTAGAGTCTGTACGGTCAGCGTTCGTTCGTACGCTCACGTCATAACCAAATTTTCTCGGATAGATTTGGATAGATTACCAAAGTTAAATTCGGTGATTTTCGGTGTTTCATCGAATAAGCGCCCTAGTGCTTACTTAAAATTTCGGCTAAAAGGAGGGGCGCTTATTGGAAGGGGAGCGCTTAATCAAGGGAAGCGCGTATAAAGTTTTCTTTTCAACGAACTGTAACTGTCCCCAAGAAGTTCATGCTTGTACTAATTAATTATTTACAGTCAATTGTCCACGATACCCACGATAAACAAACCTCACAAGTTATTTTTGTGTTGTCTTGAAAAGTATGAAGGGAAGGTAAGCACTCTACTCCCAGTTACAACACTCGTAATTCCCGCTTTCTCCCATCCTTTCATGACGTGAACCGTTCCTTGTGCGCTGAGTTTAATTTTAATTTTTCGCGATTTCAGTTTTTGTTTGCTGTGTGGTTATTTTTCCGATCCATTGCGATTTAAGCGATTTCCTTTAACCCCGAGTTTCCACTGTACAGCTGACTGTAAGAGAAACAGTGGCAACTCGGGGTTAAAGGAAATCGCTTAAATCGCAATGGATCGGAAAAATAACCACACAGCAAACAAAAACAAGCAAAGTAAATACGGTAAGCTGTATTTTATTCAACATTCTAGCGAGT